AGCTCACAGGGATTCTTCCTGGGTGGGGGAACCCTCATTTGGTTGTGCCTTCCTTTGTTTCTTTTCCTTGTCTCTGTTGTTCTGTTGTCCTAGAAAGACGGTTCTCTGGGGAGTTCACAGGCATCGACCCTATAAACCTGTTGCCCAGGCCAGCCCTCTGCAAACTGAAGAGCTTGTGGACACTTTGCTGTGGGTCTATGTTAAAACCGGGTGCGCTTTTTCCTTTCTTCATGTTCTACGTGGGGAGAGTTTGGCTAAAATATCTCTCTGGTCTCCACCACCTGGAGGTGCACTTCCCCAGGTGCACCTGGTGGGCAGTCCAGTACCCTGAGGATTCCTGGCAGCTGTGTCCCGAGAAAGGAGAGCATAGGGATTGCTCTCAGGCGTGACTGGTCGCTGTAACCAGTCCACGGGTATCTTTGTGCCATTTTACCAGACCATGCCAGCTCCCAGGGAAGTTGGTCATGAGGGGTCTGAGTTCATAAGGGGTCTTAACCTTTGTTGCTTTACTGCCTCCAGCAAGGAAGGATTTTTACTGTCTTAAAGTACTCAGGGAGGGAATTTTCTGCATCTTGATCTTTGTCTTTAGTGAAACCATAAAAGGCTGATTGCTTTGACTTGCCGTTGAGATTAATAGGTCCTACTGTCAACAGCCAGACAATGGATGCTTTCAATTGGAAAAACCTGCAAATTAGGACTTTTTTTAGAGAGCTCTCATCATAACAACTGTTCTCTTGGTACCTACCATTTTCAAAACTTGATACAAAGAAATATAATGGCTAGCCTCCTTGATTTGAGTGACTGAAACTATGTAAGAGGTTTTACTAAAGAAAGGTAATGCAGTCAGATAAGCGAATCAACCTATGCTATCATTTAGCTGGCAACTCAATCCTTTGAGGAATTGAACAGTTTAATCCTCCTGCCTGGAGTGGTTAAAGGCAATCTGGGGTCAAGGATTCTGATTTACTCATCTCTGTATTCCCCACAGCCCCCAGGAGTAAAACTGAGGCAAGTTAGTAAGAAACTAGGAAAATTCCTTGGCAAGTGGAATAGGGAAACTGAGATATATACCTAAACAAAAACAAAACACTGGCCAGGCAATGTACAGCCAGGTACAAGGCCCTGAGTGCCTGGCAGGGGCCAAAGCTGGAGAGCGAGCTTTCCTCCCCTGATCTGTCATATTGCTGGTCAAGTGGTGTGGACGCCCTGACCTTTCCTCCCTAGAGATGACACCTAGGCTTCAGTCACTGAGCTCCAGGCCCAGAAAAGCAGCAAAACCAGACAAGGGACTCCTAGGCTGACCGCAGGACCAGCTGCATTAACTAATGAGCCCCTGCCGACGCCTGTGAAAGGGTCGGTCGATCCCCCAAAGGGGTCGCGACCCACATATTGAGAACCACTGCTCTAAGGGACCTCATCAGCTTGGAAACTGGGCAGCCCTGGGCTGTGGTAATTCCTCCAGGGCTAACTGTGAACTTGTCTCCAAAGCCCCCTCTTCTCTAACTTCCTAATGAGCGAAAGCAGACTAGCCTACCCGTGGTCGGCAAATTGTGGCTCGCGAGCCACATGCGGCTCTTTGGCCCCTTGAGTGTGGTTCTTCCTAAGCCTTAGGAGTACCCTAATTAAGTTAATAACAATGAACCTACCTATGTAGTGTAAGTTTAAAAAATCTGGCTCTCAAAAGAAATTTCAATCGTTGTACTGTTGATATTTGGCTCTGTTGACTAATGAGTTTGCCGACCACTGGACTAGGCTCATCTTTCCTGTAACATTTCCAGAGAGGCAAGGCTGCCCTGCTTAGGTTCTCCTGTTGCTTCCACTATCCAAAGCCCTTCCTTGTTTTACTGTACCCAGCCTTAATAAACATCCTCTAAAAATCACCGAGATATGTATTGTGAAATCTTTCCTGCAAGAAGTCAAGAACCCACACACTACCAACCAGCCCAAGGTAGACCCACACTAAGGCCAGGTCCCTTTTCTGGGAACAAAGTAATAGGCATGCAATAATTATTTGAAGGGTTGAACAGAAGCACTTAACACTCCCAAATGCATAAAGTTACTTTATTTTAAGTATACATTTAATTTGAAAAATATAAATGCTAAAATATCTCATCTTCTTCATCTCTTAATTCCATAAAAGTCACAATAGAAAGCTTCATAAAACTGTAAAATACTATAATGTTATAGGAATTTTAGGTTTTATATTGGAAAAAATTATTAGTAATATATTGAAATGTTTTCTGTTCTTTATCATTTTGTTCCACCATGTTGATCTACTTCATTTGAAATAAAAAGATGCATCATTTCTCCAAAGTTAATAAAGACTTAAGAGAATAAAAATAAGAATATCTGAAAGTGCGTATTGATTCTGAAAAGTAATGTGTATGAATATGTACCAGCCATGAAAATGGCTAAAAAGAGGCAACAATTCACGCTTTTCACATTGTAGGAATGGGACAAAGTTACTTCTGGCTCTAAAAGTTTTACTGGATGACATTAGCCCTGAGTTGCAATATTTGCCTAGGAAATATAATTCAGAATTTTTTGTATGTACCCACAGAACACAAAGAAATGAGCCAAAAATAGGACATATGCAAATATCTTGCCCGAACACAACTTGGTGTTTGCATATATCACAAAACCATATTTCAGGCTGCAGTGAAGCTCAATGAAATCATCATCTCCAAACTCCCACAGCCCTTCAGATGGTCAAGGGCCACAAACTATCATTTGATTGTATTCAGCCCGTTGGTGCCACTGGGCTGCATGCTCATGCTGTGAAGAGCAGATGTGAAATAAGAAATAAATAAGAAAATCTCAAGTTCCTGCACCAAAATCGTTAAGTGGTATGAAAAGGATTGAAGGAAGCTTTGTCCCATCCCTGAACAATGTCAACCTCTGTAATACAACTCAAATAGTTTTGTTTCGTTTTTTAAAGATAGTCAGCAGTCAATACAATTCAAGTACTTTAACACAGTTAAAAACAAAACAAACAAACAAAAAAGAACCAAAACTCGGAAGACAATCGTTCTCTGTATTAAACATCGATATAGAGCTGATAAAAGATTTACTCTGTGTGTACTGGTGCATGTGCATAAAATATATAGAACTACACACCTGAATTACTGATGGTTAGGGGGCTGATGAGAGAGGCCTTTTCCCTAGTTCTTTAAGCGCCCACCTCCCTACCCCCATTCCACAGCTTGATTGGAAGAACCGTCAGGAACACTACTGCCCATGGCACACAGAATAATTAGGGTTCCAAGTCCTGGTTTCACATAATAGAGAAGTGACTTCCATCAAGGAAAACTGCGCCTCCAAGATATTTTCTTTCAAATGCAAAGCCAGGGACCTTTTGTTTCCAAAGGCAGACCCTTGGCCTAGTGATCTTTCCTTCCAACAGTAAGCGTGTACAGCCAAGCGTTCTGGTTAACAATTGAGTGTACACTTGGTTACTTACTTCTTTACTTCTAACAACTTACATCTTTTTTTGTCCGTATTCACATCAGGGAGAAACACTTTGTAAAATTTTACCAGTGTATTCTGTGTGTCCAGTTTACAAAGAAACAAAACCACACCATCTGGTTAGTTCTTAAATAATGAGTAAATTCAATTGAGATAGAGATAATTTGGTGGCTCTGTGTGGACCTCAGGTTTTGTTTGTTGGGTAACTATTTCTATTCCTCTGAAAGTTATGATTTTTTAAATACGTCCCTGGGTGCCAAAATATTGAAAAGGTTTGATACCTATGATCCTTTTAGCAAACATAACGTATTGTTCCACATTCATATTGTAAGTATCAACCAGTCATTGAACATGCATCATACACAGAGGTGCAGATAACTTTTAGATCTACTCAAAGGCTGAATTAAGTTGTTTTAGGAGGTTTTTTTTAAAGGGATGGAGAGAGGCATGAATCCTCAAATACTTGATTCATGATCAGAAAAATAAATTATTATAGCTAGATTTTATAAAAATGAACAAAACGGTCATTAATTTGACAAGATTTTAGGTTAGGCTGAATATATTATGCATGGCTTTCAAACATTTTATTGGTGCTTCTATCAGTTAAAAAAAGGGGGGGAAAGCTTCTAATGTTATCTTAGTTTAATGAAAAAACTATATAATATAGAGAGTAATCATTTTAAGAATAGTTGTAAACACAAGCCAAAACTTAGCATGTGATGTTTTAATAAATAACAAGTAATTTGCCACTTTCATTTGAATGAAAAAACTGCAGGTCATTTATATCTAATTTGTATAAAATTGAAGGTTTTAAGATTATCCGATACTATAAAAGAAACAGTTAATTTTTTTTTTGTAATCAGAATTTTAAGAGGGCAGTATTATAATTTAATTAATATAAAAATAAGTAGGAATCACTATGTATATATTATGAAACCAAAACAGGTGGCTTCGTTCAGTTTCTGAACTCTTCTGACAATCTATTTTACTTAGGATGCACCACAAAATGTGACCATATGACCCCAATATAGGGATTCAACATTTTAACATTTTTAATGCAGATTCATAATACATAATTCAACCTATTAAAAGCATTATATTAAAATAACATGGTAATTTAATTAATATTTTCTTTTTTCTAATTTTCAAAATGGTACTTTGAAATATATATATATACATGTATATGTATATGTATATGTATATGTGTATATACACACACACACACACACACACACACACGCATATATTCTAAACTTCCCAATCACAAGGAATGGCCTTTCCATCCTAAAAAATGTGTAAGTTTTATTACAATGTATACACATACACCTCTGCAGATCTATTTGTCATGCCATAAACACTTTATAAATGTGCAAATGGTCTATTGATATTTCTATGAATTTTGTATTGTAATTATGGGCTACTGTATCAGTGATGGTTACTGATATCTGAATAATAAAATATATTCACCCTCATTTACATGACCGTAAGTCTCTTAGACTTCCGATGGATTTTTCATATATGGTTTGGGTTTTATGACAACTGACACAAGAGGCTGGGTAACTTTGCCCTTCGCCTATCATCACTCTGTCCATAACTTTGCACATATATGCACCAGCCACACACAGAGTATATACACAAACACACAAATATTTCAAAGTGAAAAAACAAAATCTAACAATACTGCATAGGACATGGACATGATAATACAATTAGCATCTGTGCCTGGATAGTACTGTTATCAAAGCATCAGTTATTCCCATCACATAGGAGCTTCTCCCTTCTCCCCCATTCTCCTTCACAGAACAGATAAATTTCTTTTAAGGAAAGGGGAAAATCGATGGTTAGAAACATGGTGTTTTTCCTCTGATCTAGCCCTCTGGCTTACCTTAAAGATTGTGTGTGTGTGTGTGTGTGTGTGTGTGTATGAGTGTGTATATGTGTGTAAAAATCACATTATATACAATACAATTTTTACAGAAAGCCTGGCAGCTACAAATAAGAGGTAGAACTACTCAAAACTATGTTTCCTGCTGCAGGAAAAAATTCATTATTTTACAGTAATTAAAAAAAAGTTTAAAAAATTGACAAAAAAATAAGTTGCAGGTTAGGCCCCATAATTTAAACAACAAAATCTAGGAAGAAAAGTATTCTTCAAATGTACTCAACAGATAAGTTCATTAAAGGGTTAAAAAAAGTTGCATAGGAAAAAGGGACATTCCAGCACTTGCTACAATGATGGCAATAGTTTCGCTACAGGGAATAAAGTACCTTTAGTTGTTCTTCTTTTGAGAATTCTAGGATTAGGGTTCCTAAGCAAGAGCAAATTAGAATAGCAGCACTTTTCCAGTTCTGGAGAGCTCCGTAAGCGAGAGGAAACTCTGTCTGGAGATCAAGGTTTGTTCTGCCAGACAGAAAGACAAGCCAGTAAGCACAGCTCCAAAGCTCAAGTGGTAAGTTCCTTCAGTATTTGAATAAAAGGTGTTATAAAATCCTTAATACTTTTGACTTCTGGTTAAGAAAGGAAAAGGACCGGTCTGTGTGTGTCTTGCATGACAGAGGAATTTGGTTGTCAGAGGATACATCTGAACGTATAACGAAAGGGGACTCTTCAGGTGCTGTTTTTCAGGAATGGTGCACTACTGTCTTAGTTTTACCTTACGCTAGGGAGAAGCAGAGAGAGCACTGTACTATTTGGCCAATGACCAAAACCCAAAACAAAACAAGAATTAAAAATAAACAACCAGACGGAAAAAAACAAGACCATGAACAACAAAATCTGTTAGTTTGAGGAAAGACAAACAAGTTACAATGTAGTTTCTGTTCCCTTGCTCCTCCAGTAATCATCATTGTCGTCCGGCTCAAGTTCTATTCTGATTTGAGGCACACCTTGTACTGGAGTTTTAGGAGGACTAGAGAAAAGGAAAAGAAAAGAACTGGTAAGTAAGTCAGATTTCCTTTCTCATCTGTCAAATGTTTATATATTGGACAGAAGCCAAATGTGTCCTTTGTTTTCTGTAAATTCTTATCTCCACTTTCTGTATTCATAAGACAAACATTTTTAAGTGGGATGAAGGTACCAATAGAGTCAAGATATTCAAGTAAAAATGTCTTAAGCCCTCATACCTAGATTTGAAATAAACAAAAACACACAAGAATATGGGCGATACTGTCAATTTAAAGGACAAAAAGACTTTCATGAAGAAAATATTCAGGGATTATACCTTTTGGGCAATCAACTAAGATCTGAAATCTGCAGAGCCAGGTTAAGAGGGAAGGATACCCCTGGAGAAGAGCTGCCAGGAAATGCAGTTACCCCTGAAGTCAGAGATGATACAGAAAGGATAAGAGGTGACATTGATTGATCAGGGGCTTTATTTTAATGCTACTGAGAGATTTCAGTATTTCTAAGAGTAAATAGAAAAGGTCTCTTAGAAGGTTTTCTACCAGTGAAAACTGGAGCAAGGTTTGGTGGTTGGGAAATTTATTTAAGAGAAATGGAAGGAGAACAAGGTGTTCTGCCAATAACCCGCCTTTGACTTCACTTCTGTGGGGCAATCATCGCCCAGAACAACGTAGGGGAAACAGGGCCGTCCTTTACCTGAGCATACCCAGTGACTGAAGAAAAGGAATTTTATCAGCATGATGTGTGGTGTTCAAGGAATGTTGGTGATCTTTCTCCTGGAAAAAAAAATATTTGTTAACCATAAAGAGTAGTTTGGGGTAATATTTAAAACTAGAGTGAAAATAAAAATCTCCACAAAAATTGATGCATCTTTCACAATTGGGAAGAGTAAGAAAGGCGAGTTTAGACAATGTCAATAAACACTGTATCAAGGTAAGAATCTAACTAGTGTGATGAAGCCAAAATCACTTTGCTTCCTTTACTCCAGGTTTTTTTCTAGGAATAACCACTAATGTTCCTCTCAGTGAGGGGGCAAGAGGTGAATCATTTTTAAAGAGTATGCTTACTCTTGGATTTCCTTACATCTTCAGTATTCACAATTTTGTCCTGTGATTTGTGGGGGAATGAAAAGATTCTGAGGGACTTATTTATACTGCAGCTCTATCAATTTTGTTTTTTCATGGATTATAGACGATAAATATGACATTAGAAAAGATGTTATTTAGCCCTGGTGGGTGTGACTCAGTGGTTTGGGCATAATCTCGTGCCCTGGAAGGGCCCCTGGTTCTATTCCTGGTCGGAGCACATGCCTGAGTTGTGGGCTCGATCCCTGGTAGGGGGGTGTAGGAGGCAGCCGATCAATGTTTCACTCTCATACTGATGTTTCTCTCTCTCCCTTCCTCTCTTTCTAAAAATTAATTTAAAAATGTAAAAAAAAATGATGTCAGTTAGAATGACCATAGGTGATTTGCTTAAGTAAATTTCTAATATATCAGCTTTCAAAGTATCCTTCTTAAAGGATTCTTGAGAGAATGAAGAATACTAGCACTAGATAATCTAATTGCTATACATTTTTTCCCAGGAGCCTCAAATTCTAACGGATTTTTTTTTCTAAAGCAGCCTTTAAACTGTACTTGGAAGGGCTCCACTAACTTACAATGTCAATGGACAACATACATAATGGGCTCTCTTTCAGTCTCCATTTGCTATTGATGCTCTGAAGATGAATAATGAAGCTAGAACATGGTTTGGGGACCTTGAATTTAAAAAGGAAAAATTAACTCAATCCCCCTGACAGGATTGAGAAGAAAATGGCCTCAGTTATAACCTATAGCCTACGTTCAGATTAGACACTAAAGGTGAGAGTGTTCTCATTCTTTAAACCTAGTGTGCTGGCCAGATTCCAAAGCTCCCTGCCCCTGGTATTCATATCCTTGTATAATTCCTTCCCATACTGTACCAGGGTTGGTTTGTATGATTAATATAATATGGCAGAAGGGATGATATACCGCTTTTGTGATTCAGTTATAAAAGACTGCAGTTCCTGCTTTGGTTCCACACTCTGTTATCACTGGCTCTGGCGGAAGCCAATTCATGCACGGGCAGCTGTATGGAGGCGCCCACAGACCAAGGGACTGACATCTGCCAACTGCTTTGTGACTGAGTTTGGAAGCAGATCCCAGTTCCCATCAAGACTCAGCCCCAGCCGAGAACTTGACTGCAACCTCATGAGATACCCGTACCCAGAACCATCCAAATCAGCTGCTCCTGAATTTCAGAACGTCAGGAACTGTGTTAGAAAACAGGTTTGTTGTTTCCAGCTGCTAAACTTTAGAGTAATTTGTTACACAGCAATCAATAACTCATATACCTATTTTCATAAACAGTCATTCATTTCAAACTTCTCTCGGTAAGCTGTTATTGAAGTGGTATTGTCAAACAGAAGAGAGAAAGTCTCAACTGTCTTTTGCCTTCAGCAGATCAGTAGACTTTGAAGTGCATCTGGATCTTAAAAAATACATTTTCTTCCAATGAGAACGCAAAGTGAAAGTAGTTTGGAGACAACTGCTATTGGAAAAGCTTGTGAGATATTCAGTAATGTGACTACAGAGGTTCCCCCCCCCCCCCGCTTTTAAAGGAGGCTGTTGATTACAAAAGAAAAGGTGACATGTCAGAAATCACTACACCGTAGCCAGCGGGCTGTTACCTAAGGAAAAAACAGTGCAGTTACCAAGGTGATTTGGAAATAGCAGAGGAGGAAGACATGAGGGAGAAAATGCACAAATCTTGTAAATCATACCTAGAAATTTCTGTTAATTAGTTTATGATTGCCAATTAAATTTAAAATAATCAATTACTCCAAATTCTCAATATTAATCATTGATTCATTAATCACTGAGAGCCCGTGTTGCAATTTCTCTTTTTGGGCTGATCTGGTCATTGGCTGAAGCCTAAGGAAGACAAACAGTAACAGACAGTGATGTAGTCCTATGAGCCGCAATTCTAAACACCAGCAGGAAAAAGAAAAATCAGTTAAAGACATGGTTATGAGTTTAGCAACTGAAAGAAACTGGTGATAACCTGGGTCAGAGAAAAGACTGCCAAGCAAAAACTTAAGAAAAAAGGGAGGAAAGGGAAGCTCAGGGAATGTGAAAATGAAGTTTTAAAACAATAATTAAGTGTAAATCTTCGCACAGAGAAAAAAGAAAATGGAAGGAAAGTTAATGTAAATGATCGTTCTAATGTTTTTTTCTCTGCAAGTGCAAATCATATTAAAGCAGGGAAGCAAGAGGTTAGTTCTACTCACTGTCGGAAGGTTTGCTATCACTTAGGAAAGGCTGCTGTTCCATGATGTCCATTGGAATTTTAATACTTGGGACTGTTTCTGAGTATGGGCAGTCAGACTGTGGAAGAAATTTGTAAGTTTTAAGAAAGGTGTTACTATACAGAACTCCTTACCTCCCAATATTGATTGAACTTACCATATTGTCGTTTACATGGCACTAAGGAGAAAAGCCTTAGATATAATCATTCCCGCCTGGCTAACTTTTCAAATTCGACACCATCTTCCTCCCTCACATTTGTTTTTCTCCCTTCTGAGTTAATGGGATGGAGTCGATTAAAACTAGCACTGAACCAAAAGAAAGGCACTACATATTGGAACAACTGGAAAGCTTTCCATGAATTTGTCATCATACACTTAAAAATGACTTAACATTTCTCAGTCTAAAGTTCCTCATATGTAAAGTAGGAACAAAAATATATACTAGAAACAGCTGTTTTGGCAATTGAAGACAAGTATGCATGATCAATCAAAATGATCAAGTATACAGTACACAGCAAAAATTAACTACACTCCCATTTTAGAATGGGATCCCAGGGATCCAGTTAGAATGGGGATACTTCACTGTGTTGAAAAATTCAGAACAAATCTTCACACAGAAAATCTCATTTTGGCAGTCCTGTCAAAGACTACGAGGATAGGCTCTGGGTGTGTGTTAAACAAATCTCATCTTTTCTCCTAGCACTAATTACAGACTCCTATTAGAGCACCTGTATTCCTCTGAAATGGTCTCCTAAAGAAAAACAAAATAGGCAATTATTTTATTTTTCAGTGTAATCACCCAACTGAAGGAGGATCATCTATGACTCTTACAATTACGTAAAAAGACCCTCCAGTACAATTCCCTTTCCTTTCAATTGAAGGGTTACAGAGAAATAATCCAAAATCCTGTCAAAGCCCAATGCAAAGATAAAAACAATAGCAGAGGACTTTGGTTGAGAGCCTACTCCAACATAGATAACGGGAGGTGAGGGCACCAGCATTTGTCTACATTAGGCTTAACATTATTACATAAACCGGAGTCATCTCAAATTTAAATCCTGGATTGTCAACAGCAAATCAAATACATTTTATAGCAGCACTAAGTGAACGTTTTACTTATTTATGAGATTGGAGTTCTTTAGATGTGGTGGGCTTTTTTTTGGTTTGGTTTTCAGAAGTCACTTTATCATTTTTAGTGCATTAATGGTTAAAGAAAGGCTTCAGAAAATATAAAAAACTAAAGAGAGAAAATAAAGCGTAAAGGAAGGTGAAGACTGACATGTAACGTGGACAAGTAAACGTTTTCGAAACTCAGACATACATCTCACATAAGGGATAAAAAAACTGATTTTTCACATAGATTTCTTCAACTAGTGTTACTTTGGAATTCTGGGAAATTCCTCACATCATCAATGTCACTGTCCAGACTTCCTTTCTTCTTTTTCTTTCTCTTCTCATCTTCCTTCTTTTTCTTTTCCTTTTCTGGAATGACATCATCGAGGAAGCTGAGGTCGTGCTGGGAGAAGAGGTAGTCCATGCCTTTTCTGACAGCCACCAGTGCCAAGATCTGAAAGAATAAATATAAAAAATATGAAAGGAACCATGTCAGATGAAGTCATAATGGTATGAATACTTTCCTATCAAAGGCAGCTGAAACCTACTAAGTATAAGGCTACAGGATGCTGGAACTCATCTTGCTTGTATGAACTTATATTAAGTGGACCATAAACATTTTCTTCGTGGAGAAAGTTGGCTTATAAAAGTGTTAACTGACACTCACTTTGTTTTGCTCAATGAAATGTGTAATCAACTTTACTTAGAATCTCAATGTGAAAGGGTTAGTTTTTAAATTATTTTCTTCCATGTTTTAGCTTTTCAATAAAATAACTAAAAAGTTAAAGAAAAAAAATGGCCTGCATATGATTTCTAATTACTCAAAATTAAAACAGTATACAAGTTGTAGAAAATCTGTGCAACATACAGTACACTAAGACATCTTTAAAGTATTAATAATGAGGTAGCAGTTGGATATGCACAGACCATTTAATCTACTGAGCGACTTAAAAAAACTTCCATTAACTGCATACTTACCATGTTTCAGATGCTGTGCTAAAACTCTTAGGCAGTATTTTCTTATTCTCACAACAAACATAAGGAGTAGATATTATGATCTCTATCTTACAGCTGAGGAAACTAAAGCTTATAGATATATGTACATCGTCCAAGATCACTAAGTCAGAAAAAGGAAGAGTACGGAGGGGCCCAGCTGCCTGCCTCTAAAATCAGTATTCTTCAACTCCGTATCTTTGATTCTATAAATAGCTCTTGAAGATGAACTTCTGAAGGGACATTAAAGATGTCCTTGCTCAACGGTGAAATGTGTACGTGCTAGGATATCAGTCATGACTCTGCTTCAAATAAACAGTTGTCTTTATCTATATGCTCTCTGGGTTTCAGATTCTTCATTTCCTAGACAAGTTAATAAATCTGCTCTACTGAAATTATGTGATTGTTTTGGGATCAAATAAAAGCTCTCAAAAGATGAAAATACTTTATAAAGGTAAAACTTTGATTATTTAGCACAAGCAATAAGTGACTTACTAGATATATTTCAAATTTAATCTGTCTAAATTTGTTTTTTTCTTGGCTTTAGCAAAACTAATTGATAGGTACATTATACCAAAAGGCAAATGGGAGTTTTTCTCTCACTCAGTGTGTTTTTCAGTAAGTTAACGGAGTTTAAGAGGGAGTTGGGGAACTGGGTGAAGGAACTGAGAAGTATAGATTGGTAGTTACAAAACAGTCATGGGGATACAAAGTACAGCATAGGGAATTTAGTCAATAATATTGCAATAACTACATATGGTGCCAGGTGGGTACTGGAATATCAGGGGGAACACTTTGTAAAGTATGTGATTGTCTAACCATAATGCTGTAAACCTGAATCTAATACAAAATAATATTGAATGTAAATTATAATTTAAATAATTAAAAAATAAAACAGAATAACATAAAAACAAAAAGATAAAAAGATATAAGGAATTATCAAGAAAAAAATATGACTACTAATATCACTAGTATTTTATATCATTATCCCTGCATCCTTGGAGAAAAAAAACCCCACACAATTATAAATAATAAATAACCATAAAACAAAATAATAATCCTGACTAAGAGAATTTTTATAAAAAATATAATATGGTTTATGTATGAAAATTGGTTCCAATGCCCTAGCAGTGACAGAGCAGACTTGAGGCTGGCTTTGTGACTTGTTTCAAGTGTATGTATATGTATTTTCTTGCAAGAAATGTAAATCTATGGTAAAGTATAAAATTCAATAAGGAAACCAAATACAGAGCTGGCATTTTCTTTTTCTATCTTTCACATTCAATATTATTTTGTATTAGTTTCAGGTGAACAGCATAGTGGTTAGATAATCATATACTTTCCAAGTGATCCCCCTGATATTTCCAGTACCCACCTGGCACTATTCACGGTTATTACAATATTAATGACTATATTTCATATGCTGTCATTTACGTCCCTGTGTCTGTCTTGTAACTACTAGTCTACTTCTTAATCCTTTCACCTTTTCACCCAGTACATCTCACCATATCACAGCAAGGATAGAGAGCCCAGGCTTCAATTTAGCATGATAAAACTAGCGAGACTTTCAAAAGCGAAACTTCTCATTCGTTTTCTTCTAATTCACTGGACAGCCTCTCATAAGTTTCCCAATTTGTCCACTATTATTTGGGCTGAAATCTGCCATAACTTCGTTACATTGACTCTATTGTACAAAATTCTATTGTATTTTAAAAATAACCAATGTGTACTGGTGTCTACTATGTGCCGGGCGTTGTGCTATATATTTGATATTCATTATTGATGCTCAGAATAATAACATTCCTCATCTTATGGATAAGTCAGTGGCAGCTCAGGGAGTTTCACCATCCAGCACGAACCAGGGCCGGAATCTGAACTCAGCTTAGTCTGACTCCGAGGTCCAGTGTAGACAGTCACAGACAGAGGAACCTTAAATTACAACTGAGCCAATCTAAATGATTTAGGCAAAGCTGGAAAAAAAAACTGGAACCACACATAAAAGATACCTTTGTCTCCCATATCACCATAACCACATGATATTAGTATGACCTCATGGGGTAGGTTCAATGAAAGAAATCCCTACCATGACTGGAAAAATGATAGCAGCCACGGTTGACTTGAGGATCCAGAGCAGGGCTAGACACAACACCTGCAGGAAGGTGAACAGGTGCACTCTGCGCAGCGGGACATGGCGCAGGTAGATAAAGTCAGGCTGATGCTTCAGAGGCATCAGGAGCAGCTTCAGGCGATCCATGAACTGGGGAGCAGAGGGAAGGAGAGAACAGCTGCATTACTTCAAGAGCGGATGCACGAGGTCATTTCCATTATGCCCAACTCTCCATTGGTGACTCATACCCTGTAATTTGGGCAAGCAGTATCTTTTCCAGGACAGTGGTCAAGGAGTGCAGAAATGTATCCTAACCAGCACCATTAGACATGGTAGGAGTCTTCTGATTTTCATTACTTTGCAGGAACGTTATGCAGACATATGAGATAAAGTGGCCTCCAAGAATAAAGTTCCAAAGCACAATATAAATTCTAGACATTCGTCTCTTTCTATCTATACTGTCTGAGTCTTGGGACAGAGGATCGTGTGACTACTTTAATAATGATATGCAGAAGCAAGACACATAACTAATGTATCTTACACTAATGCATCTTATACTACCTTTGTTGTCTTATCTGAAAGAGGAGGAGATGCAGCTATGTGTCACGTACATTTCAGGGATGTTTCGCAGACATAAAGGAAGTATCCACCTTGAAAGTGGGGATGCACTGGCATTTTCATCAACTCCACATTATCTATGGCATAAGTAATACATTCAGCAATGCACTACCATTTTTAAAAGAGGAAAGCCATGTGACTATTAATTACAGGGAGTTTCAGAGTGTCCACAACCAGACAGCAGAATCCTGGAGAGGCTGTCACACCGTCACGTATACGCAGGTATTGAAACTACTGCCGAGCACCTGGGTGCCAGGTGCTGTGCTTCACAGAATAGCTGTTGAATTTACACTGATGATGATTATAAGGATGATATCTCCAGACCCATCATACGATCTTTCCGATGAAAGATGCTCAGTACATAACTGCTAAAGTGAGTTATTATGCAACAAGAACTCTGAAATAATATCCCTGCTTCCTCTCTGGAGGGAAGGGAGACGTGTAAAAGAAAACTAGACTGTCACAGACAACAGTCTCTGCGGGCCTTACTGCTGATAAAGATCGGGCTACAAAATGTCCTGCTAAAATCAAATCTTGCCAAAAGTTCTAAAAGAGGAAGAATCAAGAGGAAAGTAAGGAGAAGAGAGAAAAGGCAACTGGGACAACAGCCGAGTTTTAGAACGCGACTATCTTTCCCTTCACAAAGGGTTTCCCCGTCATTGTGATATAGATGTCTTTCCTCTATTTAATAAACATGTACTGAGCTCTAACCATCAATCAAGCACTTAGAATGCATACAATCAAACTTCTTATCTAGACTGACCTTTCGAAGCTAAACAAAATAAGCACTACTAGTTTGGAGGTCACATTATTTTCACATCTTTCCACTTAGGAGAGTAAACAATATATACAATGCCAGGAACAAATCTAATATTTTGATACATTTATCTGCCCCAAAGTTTCATAGGCACAAATAAACATGCATGCATCGTCATCTAGTCCAATCTCTGAAAACCGCCTTGTGTTTTGTAACAAATAACCAAATGGTGCAGAACTCTACTTAATGGGCCCAAATAAGGAAAAATAAAGTAGCCTTTTCTCTTTTGGGGAGTCTGGCTATAAAACTAAATTAATCTAAACTCAATAAATGAAATGAAAGCAAGGACAATTATGAACGGGTTTAAATAAATTGTTAGGATGTTCGCAGAACATGCTGTCTTTTCCCATTAAAATGTTACTAAGTGCTAAATAAGGCTTCAGCTAACAAGATGCCAGAAATCAGCAGAAGGACTTCCAGTTTCCCAGTGCCAATTAAATTAAACCTCAATGGAAAGACAAAGTTTTCTCTAATGACTTTTTTTTAAAGGGGGACAGTTTACCAAAGTTGTGAATAGCTGAAGATTTCAACAAAAGTAATACATAAACCACACTGACTTTATTCTTTTATTGGTTCAAAACTTTGATCACTGAATCCAGTCATGTAAACAGTACATCCCATAAGAAGAACCTGTTCTTAGTGTAGGTAAAGGCAAATGGCAAATAGTATCTTGAAGAGTACACTGAAAGGGTTGATTTCCTTTTTGAGATGAAAAGAAAAAAAGAAGAGGAAGGAAGAGAGAGCGAGAGAAAGGGAGGAAAGAAAGAAGAAAGGAAGGTAGAGCATAGCTCTCTTACTTTCCTGATCACATGACCTTAAACAGCCTATTTTAAGAATGGGTCGGTATGATCACATTTGTTAACACAAGCTAACTTTGTTAATTAAATCAGAAAACGAAAAGTAGATAATGGTAGAGAAAGTAGAAAATAAATGCACTTTAAAAACTTAGCAAGTAATTAGCACTTTCCTTTTCAGAGATCAATTACTGGACTAGCCTTACTACTAGGAAAACTTGACTGTACTTAGGTGGCTATGGAAAACTTACCTGGACACCATTAAGGGATGCTACCCCCATATACAGGAACACGCCATAGAGTACAGGCATGGGAATAAACTAGGAAAGAAAAAAATTGGAGACCAGTTAAAAATAATAATAGTAATAATAGCAAATACAGTAATGGAGAGGGGTAGTTTAAATAAAAGCTAAATCTGAAACTAAAAGATAGAACATAATAATATAATGATCTCTAATTAGTGTGCTTTAGTAATCATTGACAAACTTCAACCCTCTGTACTAGAAATAGATGCAGGTGACACTGAATCTGAATTTTCATTTGATGCCTGTTTGTATTTGTTTACAATGAGCATGCATGGCCTTAATAAGTAGTTTTTTTAAATGGGGAAACAGTTTCTTTGCCTTTGGCCTTACAAGGAATGACTGTGTAAGCCAGATGTTTGCATGAGTTGTGAGGTAGAAAGAGGGAAAGA